GAGAGAGAGAGAGAGAGAGAGAGAGAGAGAGAGAGAGAGAGAGAGAGAGACTCCTTGTTCTTTCATTTTCTCTGAAACTCGGGGTAAAGCAGCTGCCAGCAACATCAGGGCTATTACAGGGTTGCAGTTCTGCTAAATTTCTGCTGACGCGCCATCTATTGGTGGGAAGCAGCACATGCCGAACCGAAGTCCAGGAGCATTGTCCCGTCAGCTGACTAACAAATTGAAGAAATGACAAAACACCAGGGGACTGATGACAAGACAAACTCTTGATCCCTTCGCACCAGGGTCGCCAGCTCCTTCCTTCTTCCCTTTTTTTTTTTTTTTTTTTTTTTTTTTTTTTTTTTGAAAGGCCCTATTCTTCGGGTCTCGCTACATTACTCCCCATTTTGCATTTTTGGAGAGTGTAGCTCTGCTCCACCGGTTCGAAACTGAAAAAGACACTGACGGAGGGTTGTCAGAAAGACTCCTTCCAGCCTTCTTGTCGGTGGACCCTGAACCTACCAGGGGTGAGGATTGGAGTTAACACGCCTGAACATGGACGTTTTTTTTGTTTTTTTTTTTGGGACAATTTGCTCCAATCTATTCGTGGGAAGCAGCACGTGCTGGAACATGGACGTGTTTGTGAACAAGTGCAGAAAATTGCGATTGATTTGCTTTTTCTGCATGCATCTTTGCCTACAGATAAATATTCAGACGCTTAATCCAATCATGTTTGCTAGTGGGACCTCGAGCCCCAGGGTCGAGGTCCCACTATGTAGCAAAAAGGATAGGATCGAGCTCGTGAATCCGGATGTGTTTTAAAGAAGAGATGAAGAAAAGCAGTTCAATCTCGATTTCCTGCACATCTCCATAAACTCGTCCAGATTCAGGCGAGGCCCCAGGGGAAAGGCTGGATGCAGGAGGAGGGACACCAGCCTGAGGATGTTTTTCTTAGAAAAAAAGAAAAAAAAAGGAGAGAAAGATTCCTTTTAGAGGACTCTCCATTTTCGGGGAGTCCTCACCCGGCACCCCCTCGAGAATCAAGAGCACTCTGTCGCGCTCTCCATTTTACTTCAATCTTGGAGATTGGGCCTTGAGTCTGGGCCAACAGGACAGTCCTTTTTTTTTTTTTTTTTTTTTTTTTAA